TCGCTGTGCCTGGCAGACAAAGGGGCCTCAGGAGGGCGAGGCTGCCCTGCATTGTCTCGTGGACGTTGAGTCCCAAGTGGTGTGAGGGACTCCCGGCAGGCTAGGCTGACTCTGCCTAGGGGTTGCCAGCCTGCACGCGGCTTTTTATTTTTTATTTTTTATTTTTTTTTGAGACAGAGTCTCGCTCTGTTGGCCCAGCTGGAGTGCAGTGGCCGGATCTCTCAGCTCTACTGCAACGCTCGGGCCTCCGGGTTTACGCCGTCTGGCTGTTCAGCCTCCCAGTAGCTGGACTACAGGCCTGCCCGCGCACCTCGCCCGGCTTAGTTTTTTGTATTTTTTTGTTTAGTGAGACGGGGTTTGTCACGTGTTAGGCCAGGATGGTCTCGAATCTCCTGACGTCGTGGATCGCGCCGTCTGGCCTCCAAGTGCTGGATTAAGGCTGAGGCCACGCGCCCGGCCTGCATGCGGCTTGAGCTGTATGCAGCTCAGGTAGGACGGGGGCAGGGACACCCTCCGGAGAGGAGGGTGGGTGGGAAGGCCGATCTGTGGCAGGCAGGGAGAGCGCAGGCCTGGCTGGGGGGCCAAGGGGGAACTTTTTTTTTTTTTTGAAGGACTTGGAGTCTGCTCTGTTACCAGGCGGGAGGGCAGGGCCGGGATCTCAGCTCACTGCAGCTCCGCCTCCGGTTTACGGCCATTTCTCCTGCCTCAGCCCTTCCCGGAGGCTTGGGGACACGGGCGCCGCCACTTGCGCCCGTGCTAGAGTTTTTTGTATTTTTTCGTAGGAGACGGGTGTTCACCGTGTGTAGCCAGGATGGTCTCGATTCCTGAACCTCGTGATGCACCCGTCTTTCAGCTTCCCCAAAGTGCTGGGATTACAGGCTTGAGCCACCGCGCCCGGCCCCAAGGGGGAACTTTTAAGTCAGTCTTGAGGGAAGAAGGAGTTTCACAGATAAAGGTGGGGGGAGGGGGAGTGGGGGGAGGAGGGGGGAGGGAGCAGCTTGGAATGCAGGGGTCTGAGCAGCTCAGTCACACAAGGGACTCAGTGGACAGTGTGACTGGAGAGTGGGCTGTGATGGTGGCTGTGCGCCATGTGCCACGAGTGGATCGTGTGGCTGGGACAGTGGGACTGACTGCTGGGCGTGGGGAGGAGTTGGCTGTTTTGTCTGTGGTCCACATACACCCTGTGACTTCAATGGATGCAGGCCCCTCCTCGGTGCCGGCCACTTGTGGGTGCCTGGGAGGCAGAGGTCCAGCAGGCGCAGCCCCAGCTTTCACAGGAGACAGGCCAGTAGGCAACGGGCAAGGCAGACAGAGATGCAGAGTGACCGTTCCCACACGGAGTGAGCCGGGGACAGAGATGCAGAGTGACCGTTCCTACACAGGAAGAGAACTGGGGACAGAGATGCAGAGTGACCGTTCCTACACGGAGTGAGCCGGGGACAGAGATGCAGAGTGACCATTCCTATGCAGGAAGTGAGCCGGGGATAGAGATGCAGAGTGACCGTTCCTACACAGGAAGAGAACTGGGGACAGAGATGCAGAGAGACCGTTCCTACACGGAGTGAGCCGGGGACAGAGATGCAGAGTGACCGTTCCTACGCGGGAAGTGAGCCGTGGACAGGTCTGAGGGCCAGATAAGCTGACAGCCGGATGACAAGGGCAGCCTCCGAGGAGGAAAGAGGGCATCAGGAGGCACTGCCTGGAGCAGCCAGCTGCAGCAGGGGGTCCAGAGGGCAGTGGACTTGGCGGGGTCGGGGGCTGCCGTCAGGAGAGGCCACCATCGGGAGGCTCCTCTCCTCTGTGTGGAGGCAGAGAAGGGGGACTTCTGATCTTTGAAGGTGGGGCCAGTAACGAAGGGGTTTCACATGTGAAGCACAGGCACCCAGGGGTGGGGCCAGGCCTCAGAGCAGGGGAGAGGGGAACAGTGGCAGCTGTGTGGGGAGTTGACCCTCGAGATTTGGAAGAGGCTGTTCAGAGAGACCCAAGGGTGAAGTCCCAGGCCTGGGAGTCGGCGATGGTGGATGGGTTTGGGAAGCGGTGGGTTTTGGACAAATCAAGCATTGCTTTGACAATGAAGGGTGAGTAGGCAAGGCTGGTGCTCTCCCCCTTGAGGGGCGGGGGCCAGTGAGGACGCCTGTGCAGGTGAGGGGAGGAGACAGTGAGCCAGGGGGATGCCTGCACAGGTGTGGGGAGACAGGTGGACTGGTGGGGGGTGGGAGGGAAGCCTGCGCAGGTGTGGGCAGAAGTCACAGGTGTGTGGGGGGTGCAGTCACTCATGGTACATCAAGGGCCTGGAGGGACACCGGGGCTGTAGGTCTGCAGGTCTAGGGCTCAGAGGACGGGTGGCTGGACTAGAGAATTAGTGGAGAGAAGACCATGAGCCCACCCCAGGAGTGTGGAGGGAGAACTTCAAGGGGAGACCGGGGCAGACTCAGAGCCTTGAACCTGGCTCAGCAGAGAACCAGCTGGGGGGGCGAGGGGGCATCTGCGAGCAGGGCTGGCAGCTTCCTGGGGAGAGTCGGGAGAAGGCCTGGGCCACCACCGAGTCAGTGGCTGCAGGGGAGGCACAGGGTGGAGGTCCAGGTGGGGGTCTGGTCAGGGGGGACTGGGGTGATGGCTTGAGGGAGTAGGGGTGACTGATGGCGTCTGCCAGGTGTGGGGGCCCCAGGGTCTGTGCAGAAGACGTGAGCCAGAGGCGAGTCCTGGGTGCAGTGGGGACGGGCTCCGGCCGCACGCGAATTACCTGGGATGGGCGAGGGCAGCGGTACCCAGCCCTGCATGCTGGGGGCACTGGGGGGTCATGCAAGCCAGGAAAGGTGCAGGGCCCTTCATGAGGCTCAGTGTGCTGCCCTAAAGCTTCACGTCCGGGCCATGGTGGGGCTCTCCAGGGTGACTTCAGGTCTGGGTCCCGGTCACACGGTCCTTGTTGCCTGAGGTGAGCTCCCAGAAAGGGCTGCAGGGCCCAGGAACTCCCACTCCTGTGGTGCAGGGTGGGTTTGTGCAGCACTGCTGGGCTCTGTCTTCCAGCCTCTCCTCTGTGTCTTCCATTACGGGGCCTCACTTGGTCAGGTTTGGGGTGGGGCTCAAGGTGGGTGAGGATGCTGGAGTTTTTTTCCCCCCTTGGAGCACCTGTCGCTCACCAGAGACTGTATCCTCAAAGTTTCTAGGCACCTTTAAGTTTACTTTTAAATGAATACACAGTTGACAACCCCCACCAAGGTTTCTATTTCTTAGAACATCTTGTACCCTCTGCCTGCACCTGGGGAGGACCTGGGGGCAGAGCCTCCTGAACCCTCCATGCAAATTCATGTAGAACAATGCAAATGACGAGCAGGCTGAGGGGTCCGTGCCTCCCGTCCCCATGATCACCTGGCCTTCAACAAAAGGGGTGTCTGTGAGGAAGAGGCTGCTTGCCTTCCCCGGAGCTCAGGCCCCTGGGAGGGGGTGGGAGCCCTGTCTGTCCAGTGGCCTTGGCCACAGGCCCCATCTGGCCAGACACCCTAGTGGGCAGGTGGACAAAGACATCAGAGACCACTGAAAGCGTTGCAGACCCAGGCCCAGGAGCTGCGGGCGGGAGAGTGAGCCCTGGACCGGCTGGGAAGTGCCTTGGGCTTCTGAGGCGAGACCACTGCCTCGTTCGCTTGCACTCACCAGGGCTGCTGGGCAAAGCCGAAAAAAATGCAGCTAGTTCAAGTAGAGCTGGAAATGGGCTGGGAATGGTGGCTCGCGCCTGTAGCCCTAATGCTTTGGGAGGCTGAGGCTGGAGGAGCACTGGAGGTCAGGAGTTTGAGACCATCTTGGGCAAGACCTTGTCTCTATAAAAATTTGTTAAGTTAGCCAGGTGTGGTGGGTCAAGCCTGTAGTCCCAGCTAGTCGGGAGGCTGAGGCAGGAAGATGGTTTCGGCCCAGGAGTTTGAGGCTGCAGGTGACTTACGATCGTGCCACTGAACTCCAGCCTGGGGAACAGAGCAAGACCTCAGCTCTAAAAAAAAATAGGGTTGGCCAGCCTGGGCAACATAGCAAGACACCATTTCTACAAAAAATACGAAAATTAGCTGGGCATGGTGGTGTACACCTGGAGCCCCAGCTACTCAAGAGGCTGAGGTGGGAGAATCACTTGAGCCCACAAGGTCAAGGCTGCAGTGAGCTGTGAGTGTGCCACTGCACTCCAGCTTGGGCAAGACAGTGAGACCCCGTTTCCAAAAATAAAAAAATAAAGTGACGTTGGGAATGGAGAAATGTTTTTGTTCTCCAGTGAGAAAGCACGCCGGAGGCTGCCCACAGCCGCCCAGCTGAAAACGGCAAGGTGACGCCGTGGCTCACTGTGGTCAGCCACGTATTCCCTCAGTGTGGCCGGCCCATACAGCCCAGCACGGCAGGGAAGACAGGGTGGGGTGCCCTGGTCCTTGCACTGACTCCGCCATCACACAGCTGTCCCCAGCCCCGGTTCTGAGGGAGAGGGGCACCCACCAGTGAGCATCAGGACCCCCTCGAGGCCAGGGAATGCTTTGCCCTTTGTTTTCCTCTCCTGTCCACCTACTCGCCCATTCTTCCCCCCCGTTGGCGACCACAGGGCTTCATCCTCCCCAGGGCGCCCCCACCCCTGCCATCCCTGGTGGTCTGTGACTGGATGGGGGACATCGGACCCCGAGGACCATGCAGGGTTGGGGGATGGTCAGCCAGGACAGTGCCCTTCCCTTCTGTGTCTGGTGGCCAAGTAGACCGCGGAGAGGGTCAGCAGTGCGGAGGCTGCCCTCCCTAGGGGTTTATGGACAGGGGTGGGGTGGAGTGGGCCCAGAGCGGCTGGCCCTGCAGTGGTTCAGTGTGTGCTGTGGTCTCCAACCTGAGGGTCGGTCTAGCTTTTAGCACCACCTGCGGTGTGACTCCGGCAGGGGCCCAGCCAGTCCGGGCCGCAGGGGCCTGTGTGCAAACCGGGGGTGGAGGTGACGCTGGCTGCGTGTGCCTGCCGGCTCAGAGAACTAGGCTGGTCCACCACCATGCTCATCAAACTGTACTTCTTTATTAAGTGCCAAGGGTCCAGGCGGGCGCTGTCCCTTGCGAGCCCCTCCGCCGAGGCCTGTGCATGGCGGGGTTCCCAGGAGCCAGAGTCCGTACGGCCTGGGGGCGGCCCCCCCCCGCCTCGCCGGGGGGCGTGCAAAGCGTCTGCGGCTGTAGTGTGGCGCTCACTTCACGTGCTCGGCGGCGTGCGAGGAGCAGTAATACTTCTTGTGGGCGATGAAGGTGGACAGGCTGCTGAACTTGATGTTGCAAAGGCGGCAGTACCGGTGGTTGCCGTTGGGTAGGGGCGCCGGCGTGCCCTTGCTGGGGGTCTGGACGCCCTTGTCCGAGTAGGAGGGGGGCGCCGGCGGGGGTGGCACGGCCTCGGGCGCGGCGGCTGGGGACGGGGGCGGGCCCGACGGCGGCTCCTGGAGCTCCGGGCCGAGGCCGTCCCGTGGGCCGCGGGGCTCGGGCTGCGGGGAGGCAGCGGGCGCAGGTGCGGGCGAGGGGCCGCGGTCGGCCGGCGTCCGGGGCTCGACCCCCGGGCCGGCCAGGGGTGCGCCGAGCAGCAGGCCGTGCGCCAGGCGGAAATGCTCCAGCAGGTCCCCGCGCACCGGGCCGTTCGGGGGGCAGTAGGGGCAGGCGGCGGCGGGGAGGCCGAGCGCGCCGGGCGGTGGCGCAGCGGGGCACGAGTACTTCTTGTGCGCCAGGTAGGCCTCGAGGCTGTGGAAGCTCACGCGGCAGGCCGTGCACTCGTGGTAGTCCGCCAGCGCTGGTGCCGAGGCTCCGGGGGGCGGGCGCCGCGGCTTCTTGCTTAAGTCGATGGGACCGTCGGCCGCCGGGCCTGGCGAGCGCGCAGGGGCGGTGCCGGGACCGCTTCCGCTTCCGGGCCGCGGCGACTCGGGCGCGGGGGCGTGGCCGGGCGGCGGGGGGGGCGGGGCGCCGGCCGCGTGCCAGCTCGTAAAGCTTGGCGGCGTCTGCCGCGTGCGCAACGGGCGCGGACTGGGGCGGGGGCCGGGGGCGCGGCCGGCCGGGGTTCCCCGGGCGGCGCGCCGGGCGGCGCGGCGGCGGGTCGTGGCGCGAGGCGAGTAGTAGCGCTTGTGCACGCTGTAGGTCTCGTGGCGGCTGAAGCGGATGTTGCAGGCTCGCACAGCGTGCGGCTGGGGTCGTCCTCAGCGTCGTCCACCGGAGCTACCCGGGCTCTGGCTGCCCTCCGGCTTGCCCCGGCCGCCGCGCCGTCCTCGGGCGTGGCGCACCCCGGCCGTCCTCGCGCGCTCCGGGGCCCGGGGACGAGCGCGGCGCGTCGGGCTCGGCGGGCGGCCAGCCGGGGCGCGCGGGCCGGGCCGAGGGGCGCCTTGGGTCTGCGCCGGCGGACGCGTCCTCGGGCGCGCGGCGGCCCGAGCAGTAGAGGCGCTTGTGCACGTAGTAGTTGTTGACGTTGCTAAAGGTGATCTCGCACTCGAAGCACGTAGCGCCCTTGGGGGCCCCCGCGAAGAGCCCGGTCTGCGCGCCGCCGGCTCCCGCGCCCGCGCCTTGCTGCAGCCTGCTGTGCACCAGCTCGGACATCTTGGCCAGGATCTCCGAGGCTGGGGGCGCCGCATCGGGCCCGAACACGTACTGCGGCAGGAACAGGGCCCCGGCCAGGCTCAGCTCGCCTGGCACCGGGCTGGAGACCGGCGTGGGGCTGGACAGCTCGGCCTTCACCCTGGCCGGGGCGGGGCTGCGAGGCGACGGCGTCCGCGACGGGGCCTGGGGCCCAGGCTCTCCGGTGCCTGGGGCGCGGGCGGCCTCCGGCTCCTCCACCGCCTCCACCTTGATGCTCCTGGGGGCCGCCGGGGGCTCGCTGCTGCCTCCATTCTGGGGGGCTGCTCTGGCCTCTCCGTTGGTGGCCTCTGCCAGGGCCTTTGTGTCCAGTCCTGGCGATGGGGTGGGCGCCAGACCCAGGTCCGCAGAGGCCAGGGGGCCGTGCAGGGCCGTGTGCTGCTGCTGGAAGCTACCCAGACTGTCTGCAGAGAGACCGCAGGGGTGGCACCTCAGGTCTGGGGCAGGACTTGGCCGGTCAGAGCTGAAGGGCGAGCTCCGGGAGGGGAGGGGTGGGCGGAAATGGTTTACACCTGTCTTGGGCGACAAGCCCGCTCCCTTCCCTCTGCTCAGGGGGCCCAAGGGGCAGGGGGTGGCCCCCACAGGGCTGCTCACCTGGGGGCAGCTTGGTTGCTGGGTGTCCGGCCCCTGGCGAGTAGATCTCACCCTTGGAGCCTGGCTGGCAGACCATGTGGTTGGTGACCAGGTGGCTGTAGAGGATGTCCCTTGTGGTGGAGATGAAGCCACAGCTGTGGCAGACACCTGTGGGCCATGGCGAGTTGGTCAGGGCCCAGGGCGGAGGGCGGGCCCCACACATCCCCCGGCCCCTGTGGCGCCTACCGCTCAGCGTGTCCGTGTGCACCTTGAGGTGCCGCTCGCAGTTGGCCTTGGTGGTGAAGGCCGACAGGCAGATCAGGCACACGAAGGGCCGCTCTCCTGGAACACAGGGCGCATAAGAGCGGTGCCCGGGCCAGCTTGACCTTGGGACTCCGCCAGGGACGAGGAAGGCAACTGGGCCCAGGGCCGTGAACTGTGCCGGACGGGGGGACCCTGTGCTGAAGGCTCTTTACACCCCTCCCCCTCCTCGGCCCTTTGACTTCAGTGGGCCCAGCCCTCAGCTGACTACCCAGATAGCCCACAGGCTGGCCTGCCTGCTCTGGGCCCCTGCGGGGGTCTTGGGTGTGCGGAGACCACACAGGTGAATCGTGGCACTGTGGGTGCTTGCATGTGGGTTTTCCGGGGCGGCCTGCAGGACTGGGTGGGGAAGCAGCCGGCATCCTGAGGACCCGCGTCCGGGGTGGGGGCTCACCGCTGTGGGGGCTCACCGCTGTGGCTGCGCATATGGATCTCCAGGGAGCTGGCGCTGGGGCAGCTCTTGCGGCACTGGGGGAAGGGGCAGACGCGTTCGTTGGGGTAGGTCTCCTTGGGCTTCTCGTCTGCAGCAGCTGCGGCCGGGGAGCCGGCGCCCTGGCGGCTGGCACAGTAGTAGAGCAGGTGCGCCTGCAGGTTGCGCTCGCTGCGGTACCAGATGCCACAGTCCTTGCAGGGGAAGACGTCTTCTGTGGGGTGGGAAGCAGGCGGGGGCAGGCTGAGGGCCAGCCGGGCAGCCAGGGCAAGGCTGTGGGTGGAGGGAGGGCCTGGCCCTGACAGACCCCACCGTCCTCCCCACCCCAGGAGCTGAGGCTTTGACCCCTCCCTGTAACCATAAGCCTCCTGGATGGTCCTGTGACAGCCCCACTCCCTTCCGTAGATCCCAGAAGCCCTGGGCCCTGTGGGGCGTGGGGTCTGAGTGAACCCCCATGGGTCCCCTTCCAGTGGTAAGCCCCATAAGGAGACGCTTTGGCCTCATGGGGGCAGAAGGAAGAAGTGGACACCGCTGGGCGAGGCTAGCATCTATGACATACTGAGGTGACCGTGTGGACCCGGGAGGCCGTGGAAGAGGAAACGTGTGTACAGATGTGCGTGCAGGTGCGTGGGAGTGCCAGGCTGCAAAGAAGACCCATGTGCACAGTCTGAGCACTCAGGCACACGATGGCTGCTGACTGGAGTTCTGGGGATGTGGGGCGTGAGACTAGGAGTGCAGAAGTTAGGAAGCCCCCATGCGCCCACACACCGGGGTGGCTCCATGTCAGCGACTGCCTGGCTGCTCAGATTTGCCAAATTCACCACACTAACCCCAAATGGGCTGCTTGTAACTGCTGAGAGTTTTGGGGGCTTGCACTCTGCTTAGGGTGGTTTTGCTAGCGGGGGAGGACTTCTCTCGCATGTTCTCAGTTTGTCTTTATAGCAGTTTAAGGAATGTTCTCTGCCCCAGAGCCCTGCCCCACTGTCTGCCCGTGGCCCCTTGGCTGAAGACACGGAGGGGGAGGGCCTGTTCAGCGTGGCCTTGGCCTCTGTGTGGAACCCAGGGGCCCTGGGATTCCTTATCTGGCTTTCAAGCCAGTTCCACTTAGAGCCCGATGTGATATCTGGTTTCTGCCTCTGCAGGTTAGTGCTGGTTTCTCACCCGGCTTCTCCCACGTTTATCCTGAGTCCGCAGTTAGCACGCAGGGGTGGCCCCTGCCCCCGCGCCCTCCCCCCTGCGGCCTGCTTGCCATCTCTCGCCTCTCGGGAGGAATTTCAGTGCCTGCCTGGGTGAGGTGGCTCTTCCTCCTGCACCTAGTTGTTCTGGCGACTTTCCTGGCTCACGTCTCCCTCCCGTGCTCTTGATTAATGTTTCTCAGGTTCCTTTTACTTGGGGGCTGCAGGCGGCTCTGTCCTGTCTCAGCTGAGGCCTTGAGCTGGGTCCCAGATCTGGGAGGCCACTGGGTGTGTTTGTTTCTGCATCTCCCAGGTTATTGTGGGGACTGTTGCTGCAGGGATGTGGGGAGAGGGGCTGTGGCCGTGCAGTTTAGAAAGGCTGCCCGCCTGCTGATGACCACAGGCCAAGTCCGGTGGCCTGTGGAGGGGCCTCCAGGCAGGTGCCTCTGCATCCCGCTTCACAGGTGAGACGGGCCCAGAGTGCTGGAGGCTCAAGAATTAAACTGGATCTGACTCTGGAATTGGTTCCTACGGCTCTCCCGGAGCAGCAGCCAACCAGCGGCTGTGCCCTGGACCTGCAGAAGCGCTAGGGCAGGAGTTAGGAATGTCAACAAGACGTCTTGCCCTCGGTGGTGACCTTCCAAAGCAGCGTTCCCAGGACACTGCTGCCTGGGGATAAGGCATGTCAGACCCATGAGGGGGAAACCGAGGCAGAGGCTGAGCCTGGGGCACCCGCAGCTGCCCCTCAGAGATCGGGAGCTGGTCTCCGCAGGCTGTGTGGGCAAGGACCCGGCTGGAGGATTGGACCCTCCCCAGCCTACTGTCCCCACTGTCTCACTGTCTCTCTCAGCGGGGCACTCCCCTGGAGTTGGGTCTCCCGGACACCCTGAGACACTACAGGGGCATCTCCTCCCCATCCTGGTGGAGTAGCACTCTGGCCTCCCATTCCCTCCGTGACTTCTCCTTCAGGGAAGAGACGAAGGCAGATGGGGACCCACTTTGCTCCCGGCTTCTTCCAGTCACCTGTGGCCCATGTTCTCTTTTGCCCTCCTGGCTCCCTCGGGCAGTGGCTTGCCCTGCCCAGACCCAGCCTCCAGCCTGGGCTTGGGTGTTGACCTGGCCGCTCTGCCCCTTCTCTCCAGTGTCACCAACCGTTGCCACCAGCACATAACGTGGGCCGTTATGTCCTGGGTACCAGGCACACAAGCCCAGCCCCCTCTGGCCAGCTGGCCCCTGCTCAGGCCTCCTCGCTGACCCTCACTAGAGCGGCCTCGGTCAGCGTCATGGCGACCTCTGCACTGTCAGGACCAGCAGTCATTTCTCTGCCGTTGGTCTCGCCACAGCCTGGATGTGGCAGACCACCTGCCGCCCTCCAGGGCCCCCTCTAACCTATCTCAACTCACTCTCTGTCCCTTGGGAGATATCCCCTGTCCCCTGACTCCAGGGTCCACAGGCCCCAGGGCTCCCTGAGCCCCATCGTTGTCCCTCGACAGACTCTGACTTCTCTTGTGCATCTGGCAGGTGTCTTGAGGTCAGGACACTCAAAGAGTGGGAATCTGCTCCCCAGACTCCCATATGGGCCGACATCCCCCCAATGGTCACACCAAAGCCGCACACTTGGCCCTGCAGATCCCTTTGGCCCTAACCACTGGCTGTCTCCACCTACTTCAAGCTGTCTTCACATCTGACTTGCTCACAAGGGTCGCTTTTTTTCCAGTTTTGTAACTCTTTGGTCACCAAAGCTAAACCTGAGTCTTACCGTCCCCCTCCAAATGCTCTCTGGCGCAGTCCCCGTTCCCCTGGGAAGTCCCAGCTGCTGGCCGGAGCCAGACTTGCCGTGTGTTCCCTGCATGCCTTCTGCCTATCCATGGTGGCCACATGCTGTCCTTGGCCACACAGGTGCACGGGGCGCACCATCACTCCTGGCTAAGTTTTAAAAGTTTTAGCTGATACGGGGTCTTGAACTCCTGGGCTCAAACGGTCCTCCTGCCTTGGCCTCCCACAGTGCTAGGATCACAGGTGTGGCTCCTGCACCTGGCTGGGGGTGAGTGGCTCCTGATTCCCACAGCCACCCTCAGAGGTTCCGAGAGAGTCACTGCAAGAGTGATGTCTGTCCACTTCAGGCGTCCCCAGGGGCGGCTCTGTCCCCAGGGACATGTGGCCACGTGTAGAGAGATTTTGGTGGCATGTGCCTGAAGTCCCAGCTACTTGGGAGGCTGAGGCAGGAGGATGGCTTGAGACTAGGACTTCATGACCATCCTGGGTAACAAAGTGAGACCTTGTCTCGAAAAACAACAGAAAACCATCAGGTGTCTTGGTTGTCACAACTTGGAGGTGGAGGTGGTGGCAGCACCTAGTGGGCCAGGGCCAGGGCTGCTGCTCACCACCCATGGTGCCCAGCAGACCTCCACTGTGGAATGACCTGGCCCCAAACACCAGGAGGGCCGAGGTGAGGGTCCCGCAGTCAGGGCTGCCCCCAGGGAAAGCACAGGCTTCTGGTGTGGTATGCAGGGCAGAGCTGAGTCTGTGCCTAAGCCCGCTTGCCTACTGGCAGGGGCTTTCCCTGTGGTGGCCCTGGGCTCTGGGGACCCTCCTGTCCCTGTGTGTTCTGAACTTGGGACCACCCACATCACCTCCTTCCCCACCTTCCCTCTCACTCTGTCGGCAGCCTGGGGCCCTTGAGCTTCCCACCCTCACCTCCCACCCTGTCCTGCCCTGCCTGCCCCTCCTTGGTCGAGCAGCCGCCCCGGGCCTGGGGAGCCCAGCACTCACTGTTGATCACTGCGGTGGCAAGGATGGAGGCCATCCCGGCCTGCTGGGGCAGGAGCTGGAGGTCGTGTGCAGGGGCTGGGCACGTGAGCTCTGCTGGCTCCTTCTTCACAGGGCGGCTGGGGGTGCTGTGGGGCTCGGCCGTGAGGAGCACGCTCAAGAGTCCCCCTGCGGGCACCGGCTTGGTGACCCTACACCAGAGCGCGTCATCTGGAGGGAGACAGGTGTCCAAACCTAGGACCTTGTGCCCCACTTCCCTGTCCCATCTTAAACGACAGGTGGAGGATGGGGTCAGGAGAGCGGCCACCCCGTGTTCACAGCTGTGGCTGGCTGGCTGCCAGGGCCATCTTGCCTCGGGGGCGAGGCTGGGTGGTCCCCTGTGGGTGCTCACAGTCTGCCTGCCTCCAGTTCTCCCTGCCCTGCGCCCATCCTAGTGGGAGGGCCCTGGGGAAGTCTCCCAGGAAAGGGATGTCATGGAGGGTGGGTGGTGGAGTAACTAGGGGAGACCATTCAGGGAAGGCAGCCAGAGGTGGGGCCCTAGAGTGGACCCTGCTCTCTGGGAAACCGTCCGAGGGTGTTCTTCCTGCTGTGGCCCGAAGGGGGCAGCCTTAGCCCACAAAGCCCAGGCTGCGCGGGGCCGGCTTGTTCACCCGGGGTGCCCGGGCTGTGCATTCTCTGCGGTGCTGGCCTCAGGCCTGAGCCGGCCCCGCCTACACACACCACAGCCCGTCCCCACCCTGTGCTGGGGCCAGGGACTCCACTGGCCAGTGGACCCGCCTAAGCCCAGAGGGCCTCTCGCTTCATCCCTGGGCGCCCAGAGGTTGCCCAGACGTGCCACCCTCAGTAGCAGCAGCATGGCAAGGCCCCTTGTTCTTCCTGGATGGCCACCTTGACTGTTCTGGAGCCAGCCTGACGACGTGGAGCCCTGGTCCAGTGGCACCTGCCAGCTAGCCTGGCTTTGGGGTCCCTGCTGCTGCCCTTGGTGGGTTCCCAGAGGTGCAGCCAAGGTAGGGAGGAGATATGGGGATCATGGTGTCCCCCAGAGGGGCAGAAGCTATCCCCATTCCCCCTGTCACAGACACCTGTCGTGGCTCAGCCTGCCAGGCGAGACCTTCATACAGGGACTCGTGGTCTGGGCTGACTGGTCCCAGGGGAGTGTCTGCTTCATGCTGCAGCGCCCGGTTCCAGCAGTTCCCCGTCCCCCATCCCCGGCCCTAGCAGGCTGGTTTCCCTTTAAGAGCCCAGCCCAGGGACAGCCAAGTGACCCCCACCTTCCGGAAGGCTTGGGACGGAGGCGCCGCGTCATACTGACCCTTCCTGTGGATCTCTGTGTTGGCCTCGGCCTCGGTCAGGGCCTGGGGCAGCGTCCTCAGCCAGCAGGCTTCGTCCACCAGCAGCAGGGTCAGGGCTGGGCTCTGGGGGGGCAGGAACACGTGGGGAGGGGTCCGTCAGCAGCCTGCCTGGGGGTGCCCGCGGGTATGTGGGGCATCCGTGACATGGATCTGCCTCCCAGCTTGGCTGCTAGGCCAAGCTGTGGACAGTCACTGGCCCAACAGCCTGCAGAGCTGTGGCATGGGCCATCTGTGCCATAGCTGGCCGGCATGGCTACACCATGCTGGGGCTGGGAGGCTTGGCAGGGAGTGGTACCTTCCAGGGTTGGGCACAGGGTTCTTGTGGAGACTGAGGCCCAGAGAGGTCAAGCAACATGCCCCAGGTCACACAGCCAGTAAGCAGCAGAGCCTGAAGTCACACTTGTGTCTGCATATCTGTGTATCAGTGTTCTCCCCCCTGCTCGCCCACCCTGGCCCCAGGTGTGCTGGGTGTGGAACCACTGTTCCCACACGGGCTGGACCTGGTAGAGGCTCCTTCCACACAGGCCCTAGATACCTCCAGAATGACCTCTGTGGGCTGGGGCCGAGATTAGCCCAGAAGATACAGCACCTCCCTAGCAACCCTCAGGCCTCAGTGTCCCTGACAGCATGGCTCCCCTCCCTGCCACAGGGTGTGGCAGGGCCACCTGCGTTCCTGCTCGCTTCCGGGGCCAGCACACAGTGGATGCCAGGGAGCACCCACTGGACTCAGTGGGTCTGTCCCCACCCTGAGGCTGGTCAGCCCCCTTCCTGTGGGCCTGAGACACCAGCACTGTGTTGGATCAGCCCTGGCCCACCTGGCCTCACCGGCACCCTGGAAAGCAGGTAGCGCCCTCCTCTCCATCTCATGGGTGAGGAAACAGGCCTGGGAAGGGGAGGGACAGAGCTCATGCCAGTGCCTCGGGCCGTGCCGTGCTGTCGGCGGTGGCTTAGGCTAAGTCTAGAAGGAAAACACTCTGGGCTCAGCCCTCGGGGTGGCTGCCAGCGGAGCCCGTGGAGGCTGCCTCATTTCCTGTGTCCCTTGCGCCCCGGGCCCCAGCCGAATGGCACAGGAAATGTGAGGGGCCCCATCCCAGTGCAGTCTCGGGCTGGGACAGGACGAGGTGGGGCGGGCAGTCTGTGGCCTCGCTCTGTGGTGCCCAACACTGGTCAGCCATCAAGGGGAGAAAGTGGTGGTGGAGGAAGGGGTGACCGCCGTTGCCCCTCAGGCCTTGGTCCCTCCTGCAAGGCTGACTCAGCCTCAGCGCCCTGACCCTCGGTCCTGTGCTGCTGACTGCACTGGTGGTCCCCAGGCTCAGCCACCTGGGTGCCCAATCCGGAGGCACAGCACACGCATGTGCTCCAGCACTTCCTGTAAACACACTCACTTTTTCTATACAAATAAATGCCATTTAATCAGAAACTTCCTACATCATGACCTTTGACTGAAAAGCCAGTGTCACCTACAAATGCTGCTGTTGGCACTGGACAGGTTTGTGCAGCCCTGTGGTGAGGATGGCAGTCGGCCCAACCCTGCCATGGTAGAAGGGGCCGGGCTGGTGACAGTGCAGGGGTGTCCCCCGTGGGTCTGGGGTACCTCCCCACCAGGTGCCAGCCCATGAGCTTTCCTGGCCTTTGTCAGCCACGCGTGGGACCCTGTGGGCCGCAGAGCTGGGCAGCGGGGTCCCAGCCAGGCTCGGCCTCCCTGCTGCGACCATGGGCAGGGCACGGCCAGACCCGTATGCAGGGACCCCTCTGGGCCACCCCTGCCTCTCGGCCCATCTGCAGGGCACTGAGGAATCTAGCAAGATACAGCCTTTGGGCTGGGATGCTGAGTGACTACTCAGGCAAGGTTGGGGCAGGCTGGCCAGCAGAGCAGGTGACTTCCACACGGCTCAGCCACAGAACAGGTGAGCAGAGCTAAGCTGGCCCTGGCCGGGGTGGGTGCAACCCTGCTGTCCCAGTGTGAAGCCATCCCAATTCCTGGCTCAGCTTCTCTGCAGATGGGGCTCTGCCCTCTCCCACATGGCTGTTAGGGGGACGGAGGGGAGGCCGAGCCCCTGCTCACTCTGGACCCACCCCAAGCCCACCACTAGCCTTTGGGGCAGCCTCAGGGGGGTCAGTCCCATCTCCCTTGACTCAGTTTCCTCCCAGTATGTTGGGAGGCTGTGATCTGTGTGAAGCCTTTTGCCTGCCTAGCAAGTTGCCAGCCTAGCACGTTGCCAGCCTAGCAGGTTGCCAGCACAGGATGCATATTAGCTCCAGCCCTGGCTATTGCTTTGGGTTGGCCTGGCAGGACAAAGTGGGCAGGGGGTGCCTCCAGGCCCCAGGGGATGCCATCCACGGGGCACATCTGGGGCAGCACATGCTGGGTGTCCACTGGGGTGAGCGGCTCCCCTGAAAAAGCTGCTTTGTGCAGGCTGGCATCGGGTGGGTACCCCCCTTTTAAAGGACACCCCAGTGATTCCCAGGGCCACAGGGCAGGGCTCAGGAGCTGCATGCCAGCTGTGGGGCTTGGCCAGCTTGGACGGGGGCTTCTGCTGGGGCAGGCTGGGGGCAAACCCCAGGGGCAATGGGCAGGCACGTTCCTGGCACAAAGGTGGGTGACCAGCGGCTACTGTGTCCCGGCTGCGCCCAGGTCAGGCAGTCAGTGCTTGGAGAGGCTGCTGGGGCCTGGCCCTCCCCACTCTGGCCTTCCCGAGCCTCTAATGAATATTAATGAGTAGAGGAGGGTGAAAAAAATTAATCTGCTTGATCCTCCGATGGGTGCTGCGGTAACGATATGAAATCTAATTATTCGTCCCAATATTTCTAAACCCTCAAACTGAGACTGACAGCCTCCCGGTCGGTTTAATGCTTATCACTCCCAGGAGCAGCGTGTTCGCAGCATGATAAAAACACGCGCCGCAACTTTGCTGACGCTGCACAACCCCCCGATTTTTCTGTGGCAGTCCTGAGTGGAGGGAAGGCGCCATGTTCCCACCCGGCCCCGCCGAGTGTACCCCACGTTTGTGGGGCACGATGGGGCACCTGCCCTGGGGGTGCAGGTGGGGAGGGGCATGGGGAAAGAGGGCAAGGCTTACGTCTGGCACTCGCCCCCGACCCGGGAGGGAACAGGTGGGAGAACTAGGGGTGCAAGACAAGAAGCTCGGGCCGCCCTGCCACAGTCCCCCCTGCAAACACTCTCAGAGGGGCCTGCCACTCCCACTTCTGTGACCACAGGCTGGGAAGGGGTGAGGCCCTCCCTGCCAGTCTGCCCTGTCTTCAGGGGCCACCCCCAACACCTCCCAGGGGAGAGGGGAGTACAGCCTCACCCGGGGCCACCAGGGTCCCCAGCCTGGAGGTGGCGTGGACACAGCCAGCCCTGAGCCAGTGTCTTGCCCGGTGCCGAGTGGCAGGACCCCTGAAGCCAGCCTGGGGCCACCTGCCCATCCTGGGAGCCACTGCTGGGGCCAGGGCCAGGAGACCCTGGGGCAGGAAGCCAATTTCAGCTCCTGCTTCCCTTGCGGAGGGGCTGGCTGGGCACAGGTCTGTCTGTTGATTTTTTTCTCTGTCTCTTCTTTTTTCACCACCTCTGATCAGGCCTGCCGCAGACCTTCCTGACCCTGCTCTGCCTGTGGGCAGCGGGGAGCAAGTGGGGAAGGGGCCAATTTTTTTTTTTTTTTGAGACGAAGTCTTGCTCTTGTCCCCAGGCTGGAGTGCAATGGCGCAATCTTGGCTCACTGCAACCTCCACCTCCTGGGTTCAAGCGATTCTCCTGCCTCAGCCTCCCAAATAGCTGGGATTACAGGCACCCACCACCACACCCAGCTAATTTTTGTAGTTTAAGTAGACACAGGGTTTCATCATGTTGGCCAGGCTGGTCTCGAACTCCTGACCTCAGGTGATCCAACCGCCTTGGCCTCCCAAAGTGCTGGGATTACAGGTGTGAACCACCGCGCCTGGCCTTGGGAGGGGGCCTATTTTTAACTTCCCAACCCGACCCTTCTGCCAAGACTCTCGGAGATGTGGGCGATGGCTCCCAGGGTGCCCCAGGCTCAGCACCCATCCTGGTCAGGCAGGTGTATCCAGGGTCCGCGGAGGACCCTAGAGTCCACCCTGCTTGCCGCCCCTGGGGGTTGCCTTGTCCCTCCTCCGGGCCCTGGCCGGCCCCACTAGCGGCGGCCACTTTAAATTCCCCGGGTGGACCTGAGAATACTCCTTGTTTCCTCCAACAAAGAGGTCAGTGTCTCGATTCTGCGGTGGCACCGATAGCCATCGGAAACCCTATCTGCACCGCATCCGCTGTGACAACTTTATCTGAGGCCGTTCCCAAACCTCGCTATGCAGCTTGCAGGGCTGCTGAGGTGGCCCGGCCCAGGGAGCCAAACAGCTGGTCCTGCAGAAGCCCCTGCTGATGTCCTGCTCGGCCATCCCCAGGTCACTGCGGGGTAGCAGGCCAGCAGCGGGTTCACGGGAGAGTGGGGGCTGAGGCTGAGGCTGCTAAGCCCATCCTGAGAAGTCCTCCACCTCCCCGTCACCTCACCAGAGACACCAGCTGGTCCCTCAGTGCCTCTGTCTCCCTCGACCATGCAAGAAGTACATTTCCCAGGTGAGGGCCTGAGGCCTGCACGACTAAAGCCAGGTCTGTGAGATCCCTGCCACCTCGCTGCTGCCACTTCATCCACTCAGTCACTCAGTCACTCAGTCACTCCCTCGCTCCCTCCCTCCCTTATCCGACAGGCAGGGCTTGTGCATCAGCTGTTGCCAGGTGTGGGGAACACAGTGAACAGAACTGCATCTCCCGTGGATGCTGGAGTGTGGAGCTGGCCAGAAACAGCAGGTAGGTGCCTGGAGGGGGCGGTGACAGAGACACAGGACAGGCTGAGACAGGAAGTGGGGGTGGCTGTGCCAGGATGTTGGCTGAGGCCTGGAGGGTGAGGAAGGGAGGGTGTGGATATGAGGGGGCCAAGGAACAGCATGGGGAGGGAAGAGAGAGGAGGGAACAGCACAGGGGAGGGTACAGCACGGGGTTGGGGAACAGCACGGGGGAGGGAACAGCACGGGGTGGGGGAACAGCACAGTGG